TTTGTCTGATCAGATGATCATTTTCTTTTAAAGTCACACATAATTTGTTTAAAAAGCTTGTTCTGAATAATAATAACAGACAAGTGAGTGAGAGTGACTTCTGTTATTCTGTCATCTATTATTCTATTATACACACTAATCAAAAGTTTTGAATCTGTCAGATTTTTTTTCAGTTTAAAAAAAAAATCTCACCAGGGCTGCATTTATGTTATCAAAAATTCTGTAAAACAGTAATATTGTAAAATATTATTACAATTTAAAGTAATAGAACTCATCCTAATATGCCCATTTGGTGTGTCTTATTATTATCATTATCAAAAGTATCAATTTTAATGGAAACTGTAATACTTTTTTTTTTTCAGGATGATTTGATCAATAGAAAGTTCAAAAGAACTGCATTTATTTAGAATAAAATATTTTGTAAGATTACAAATGTCTTTTCTATCACTTTTGATCAATTTAATGCATTCTTACTGAATAAAAGTAATAATTTCTTATTGATCAATTTAATGCATTCTTACTGAATAAAAGTAATAATCTCTTAAAGTAAAAAAAATTGTGTTGTAAAAAGTGTGGTAGTGTATTTTCATACAAATTCAAGCATAAAACAGATTCAAGGCTGGTGTTTCTCTCCGTTAGTCTGGCAAGTGTGATGATGTACCCAGTTTTTGGGCTTACCTATAATGAGGATGACTTTGGGTCTGGGTCTAGATGGGTCAAACACTTCATATTCATCTATGAGCTCAGCTGTCTCAGACAAGTCTGAGTCACTCTCTATGGAAAACTGGTTGATGGGTGGGAGGCGTTCATATCTCCGATAGGGGAAATTGGGACTGTCCGGGAGAACTGCATGGAAGAATGGAAACAGTTAGTCATGAGAGCTTCTGATATCCTCAACAATAAATGTCAAAAAGTTCACAGGAAATCCCATGAAGGTATATCATTAGAAAAATAGGTTTTGTTTAGAGGACAAACTCACTATGTTTTACTGTACAGGTACTTTGCATTCATTTGCCTTTTTGTATTGCCTCGAGGTGGGTAGAACAATGTTGCCCAGCACAAAAAAAAAGGAAAACCCCTACCGATGGTTGCCATGCTCTAACAACACCCAAATAACGAATAATGAGCCTGCTGTGCAATACACAACAACACAGCAGTCTGTGGCCAGTTCTAGTTTGCATGAATTTCAGCATCGCCTACAATTTGGAGTTGCGTTGGCTGATGACAACACCTCCTACTCACCATTGCGGAAAAAAGATCGGCGTGACTGCCCACCATTGAGAGGCGGTAACGACTTCTTCTCCTGTCCGACGAACGTGTCCCACCGAACTGTGTCAGTCCCGCCGAGCTCCCTCACCTTCTTAAGGCAGGTCTCTAGATAGTCTATGGGGTCATCTGGTCGGTAGTACATCAGACCAGTCAGCAGACTCTGGGAAACCAGTGACAGATCAGAGAGGTGTACTGTGTTTATCTGTTCACTGTAAGTACAGGGTAACATGCATTGTAAGTAATGTTATTATTATATTATTAAATATATAAAATATATCACACACACACACACACATATTGCAGTGTGATACCATTTAAAATGACTTGAAAGTATTAACAGCATTTTGTTCATTCTTTTATAATTATTATGCATGGTAATTTTATGACCCCCTTTAGCAACTACATGGAACATTTCAACTTATAAAAATTCATTTGTTACACCGCAGGACAGTTTAAAATGAACTAAGGCAAAAGATCATTAAAATGGTGAAAAACAAACTATGAAAAATGACAGCTCCTAAAATATACACATTCCTACATATTTCATATAAGTACCCTAATCTAAATCATCACCATCATCCTCATCATATGCCTAGGATATTCCAACCCAAACTCTCCAAGCAGTAGGAGATTTTTGCCATGGGTTTCATAAGTGCCCCCCTGGGAAAGCACTAACAGTTTAAAGAGAGGTATTGTATTGTTCACAATGCAACAGTAAAATAATAATAATAGGTCACTGTAAAACTGACTTGAAAACAATCATTGAATACATGTTATTTCCTGTTATTTCTTATCACACTTGACTCTGATAAGCATGTGTAGGATTCTGTCAGCACGCCTAACATAATAAACAACGATGGGCAATCAACGACGTTGAATCGCATTTCAGACACGATCGACATTTTCAGCTTTGTACGTAAAAACGCACACACACTCTAGCAACTATTAGCACATAAATAACCCTCGATAATTTCCATATAATCTAATCCAATGCAACATTCAACAACTCACTTTGCATTATTTACAACATGCAGTAGCTACCCTACATGCACGTACCTAAATAAATCATTATCTTTTTATATTGTGAATAATCAACTTTAATCTGATGACCTTTTTTCATAACTGTATATCGAACCAATATTGCTTTTCGATACTGATTCCCAGTTGTCGGACATCCATATGCACAAAACAATTTTACATATCAAACATTTCCATGCAAGTAGCCTAACTTCTTCATGTTGTCCTTCATTTGTAACAGCTGATGTGGAAACATCTTCTTTACAGAAACAAAAGTTCACACACGTAAATTACGCTCACCTCAAACAGTTGAGGTATCTCTCTTCTGGAGAGATATTCCTTCGCATCGTTGGTGTTCATATCTGTTTCGGGAAAACTATCGATCCTGTTGCGTTGAGTGTAGGATGTATTCTGTTGCAGGTTCACGAATCCGTGATGTTGTTGCGGTCTTAACGCATTCTCCAAGTGCCTACTAAACTAGGTGGATAAAGACAGCTACACTCTCAGTAAACCGTTGCGCCTGTTACATGCTGCTTCCAAGCTCTCCTCTAGTCTTGCTCTTAGTATCTCTCTTCAGTGTTTGAAACCGCCAACACACAGCGCGATACACCTGCACGCTGCCCGCGCACTGATCGAGTGACTCAAGTTTGGCCAGCTGATGCAGGACGCGCGTCTCTGGAGTTCAGAGGAGGAAACAAGAGCAGTCTCTGAAAGGCACTTTTAAATGTAGCCATTTAGATAAACATTCATATCATTTGAATCCATATTAAATCTTAAATACACCTCTGCGCGCACATCTTAATATTTCACAAAGTTTTTTTTTTTTTTAACATATAGTTTTAATAGGCCTATATGTTTTAATGAATAAGCCATTTATTCATATCATTTGAATCCATATTAAATCTTAAATACACCTCTGCGCGCACATCTTAATATTTCACAAAGTTTTTTTTGTTTTTTTTTTAACATATAGTGTTAATAGGCCTATATGTTTTAATGAATAAGCCATTTATATTGTGATAATTAATATTTTACAGTATGTACTGTATAATATAATATACAATAATGAATTATTAATGTAGTGTATAATATAGCCTAATAAATGCATTTTATAATGATCAAAAATTATACTTATATACAATATTTTATGTTATGTAGCTACTTTGTTGTGTGAGATGTGTTGTGAACTGGCCAGGTCATGGTTTCCAAGACAAATTTCACAGGAATGGGACAATAAAGTCTATTCTATTCTACTCTACTCTACTCTACTCTATTCTAATATTAGTTTATTCTATGCTATTCTATTCTATTTTTATTGTATTTATAAATATATTATAGGCTATATTATATTAAATTTAAATTAGATATAATTAAACTTAAATTAAATGTATTATAAAAACTGTTAAATATGATAAATATGTTTATATAATAATAATAATAATAATGCTCTTATTTATATCATATCATTTCCTGGTTTATTGCCACATGACAACAAAATGGTTTCCTGCATGTTAGTTACACCACCCTTTGCATTCATTTGGCAGACAAAATGTTGCTAGATATTCATGTTTTAAAATAAACTGCTTTACTGTTTGTTATGAATTAATGCTAATAATTTGACGAGCTATTACTGTCAAAATTAATTCTAAGAATTTCAGCCTTTTAATTAGATTTCTTTGTTACAATCTTGTTATCCCAACTAGACATTTCTGAAGCCCCCAAAGAACTATCATGATGATTTCTGAATGAATAACTCCATCTAAATAAATAAATAAATAGCATGGCACAACATGTCCACTGTAAAGGGGAAAAAAATGAATTTAATGAATCTCGTTTTGGTGTGTCTAACTCAGGGGTGCCCAAACTCGGTCCTGGAGGGCCGGATCAAACACACCTGAAGCAGCTAATCAAGGTCTTACTAGGCATAATAGAAACTTCCAGGCAGGTGTGTTGAGGCAAGCTGGAGCTAAACTTTGCAGGACACCGGCCCTCCAGGACCGAGTTTGGGCACCCCTGGAACTCCTACATTAGTCTGTTACTAGTAGCCTATGTAGTAACCTCTGACATAATTTTCGCAGTAAAGTGCCACACAGGCACCAAATGTTCCATGCTGGATTTTTGACATTTTTAGCCTCCATCTGTTCTACAATCACACTTAATCCATTGTCGCTGATAAACAGGTCCTATGAATATATTAGGCTATTGTGTAAATCAGACAATGTTTGTGAGGTGGAAATGCTTTCGATTCTCAAACATCCATCATGTGAGGAGAGCAGAGCTACTGCTGTCTGAAGTGACTAAAAAAAATGAATGAAGTCTTAGGTATAAACAAACAAATTTCAGATTAATCTGATGCATAATGCTTGTTGGAGTACTCATGATATTGAGCTGGCTTATTTGTGGGTATGGGAAAATAGTATAAATACAGAACAATTTTGAATTTGAATAAGCATTATAACAAATTTTCAATGCTTCATTTTTGCTTAATGCTTGTTCCCTATTAAAATGTGATAATAGCCTAATTCTGCTTACAGTATACGGGACCACGGGTTATTGCTTAAATTTATGGGATCTGAGACAAAAAGTATTGATAATATGTAATGCATAATCATATATTCATGTCCTCAGTTTTCTTTGCTACATCTAAACATGTGAGCAGAGGTATGACTTTTATTTCGGAAAATGGGACTTTTAATCATACCGGAAGTAAAACGCTTCCTGGTTGCAGATGCAAATCTAGCCTGTCACTAAACCGGTGACGAACCAAAATGGATTATTACAATTTACTGACAACATGTGCATTTATTCATTTGCTTGTTTTCATGCCATATGCATACAGTAATTATCTTGAGGTAAGTGTCTTTATTCATAGCTGTTGTAAAGCGTTTCTGTGATTCATTGAATGGACAGTGAAGCTTTCAGCAGTAATATTCTCAGCTCAGCATAAAGGTTTCTTTAATTTTAAGTGTTTAATTTTATATTTTCTTGCTGTGTTAATTCAGATTTGTTATATATAAGCACACACATACATGCATATATAT